CCCATTTTTGCTGAAGACACCCAGTGCTCAAGGCTGGGACACTCCTGGCAGGGGCTCCAGCAGCTGCTCAGGGCAGGGCCTGGCTCTGGCTCTGACAATGCCCCTGCCCTCCAGTTTCACTGTAAGCACTGACTGAGAAACACATATTTTTGTTGTGGATATTTCAGGACAGCAAGATCAACCAGTGGGTTCTTCATGTTAATTATTCAGCAGCAACTTCTTTTGTCACAGACACAACACCTGCAAGAACCGCGCTGAAAAACCACACCAGCAGCAAGCATGTGGTCACAGAGCCAGCACAGCTTTGGAAAGAGCCTCAAGGGCAAGTTTGATTTTAAAGCTTTCACAGGGTATTAATTCCTGGGAAGGACAGGAAGGCAGGGGAGGGAAGGACTCAACCAGCACAAACAGGCTGCAGCAGCTCATTCCCAAGCTCTACTCACTGTCCTCTTCGGTGGAATGTGTGCCCTCAGATATATAGATTTCCAGCTGCAGGAGAGATCAGCAACATTAGAAGAGTTAAACACCTGAATATATTCAGTGCTGGAAGAAAAACATCGTCCAGTGCAGAAACAATGCATGTTATTCCTACTGAGAAACAGGGGATCCATGGAAAGAGCTGATCCTGGACTTCACTGCAACACAACCACAACACAACCTCCCTGGGAGACACTCCTGACAAGCTTTGCTCGGTGATGACAACCCCAGAGACTCTGTTTGAACTTGGCTGTGTAACACAGTCTGTTCCTGCATGGAACAGATTATGGGACTGGAATCTAAACAGACCTAAAGCACCTCCAACGTTTACCAGGCCTGGGACAAAAAACAAAACCCCCTGACAGAGGCTGGAGGGCAGGGAGATCTCCTGAAAGGGATGTACCCAAAGGAACCAAGGAAACAAGCCCTGGGCCTTTAACTGCTCTCTCTGAAGCTGAGCCTGGTTGGCACCACAAAAAAACATCTACCTCATCTTGTACAAGTCTCACTCTACACTGTTCAACTGGAAAGACGAAGGCAGCAACTATAAAAACCAAACAACCACCAGAAAATCACCAGCAGAAACCCTCAGGTAATTAATTTATACTGTCAGTTATTTCGGGCAAGTCTCTAAAGGTCTGTAAATCACTATGTTTGTCAGTAAAGGTCTGCTCTGCTCCTGCTCAGACTCAAACAGATTTCTCCAGGGATATATTACAGTCCCTCACACTCCCCAGCCAGGGCTGTCCCCTGTCAGGGACAGTTTTTGGGGTCAGGGACAGGAGATGGCCAGGATCAGGCCATGTGCCATCCCCACATCAGCTCCCAAGACATGGATCATAAAGATTCCCTCAGAGCAGTTCCAGTGTTTTAATCCTGCAGTTTTCCTGTGCTCTTCCAAACCTGTTCCCAAGGTTTCACTGCCAAGCTGATGCCCAGCCCTGCTCCACCAGCTCCTGCCTGACAACAGAGCAGGGCATTCCCTGCCTTGCAGGCTCTCTTTCAGAGTTTGTCTCTCATTCATGTAGCCCAAAACAGGTTTCAAAGCAGGTACTTTACCTTGTGTCTAAAAGGCAAACATCTCTGAAGTTTTATTCTTAAGCAAAGGCCTGTTAAAACAAAACAGAAATTTCCTTGTAAAATTCCAGGCTGAGGTGCATTTTCAGAGAATCCATATGTAACAACCAGTATAACTGACAACCTCCTTTTGTGTTCTGAGCAGCACAAGCCACAGAAGGACTAAAGAATTTGTGGTTTGACCCCTTGGATGCAGCTTTTCAGGTACGTTCACACCTGCCTTACAAGCTTTCAGGTCTCTGGTCTCTAATCACCTCCTAGAAACACTAAACAGAGACAAATTCCTCCCTTTCCAACTTGCTTTGGTATTTATAGATATTTATTTATATTGGTATTTATATTTGGTATTTATATATATTTATATAAATAATATAATATATATAAATAATATAATATATTTAGCTCTATATATTTATATAGAGCTTCCCAGCTATCCCTGAGGCTGCACCTGTACTGAGGGGAATGCTTGGTTTGTTTTTAATAGTTGGTTAAAAAAAATAATATAAATTATTTGGGCATAAGTACATCAGTTTCCTCATTAAACTGAAGACTTGATTTCCCTTAAATCTTTAGAATACACCGAGAAACCTTAGTTCTGATATTTAGTGGTGAGACTTTCTAACCTTGGCACATTCAAACAAATCACATCAGAGCTCTCAGATGGGATTTTTCAGATGAAATCTCACCACAAACCATAAGGGAAAAATAAAAAGACAGGCCAGTGTAAATTCTCATTCAGTGTAATTCCCTTCCAACTCCTGATGGTTCGGGACTTTTTTTGGGATTCCTGGATTGCATGGGGGGGATTTTTGGTGTGTGGGAATGGAGAACAGCCCATAGGGAAGGGAGAGGGGAGACAAGCATTAAGTTTAAGGGGTTTCAAATTTAAGAGCTGACAAGTTTTTAATTTAACATTACTGAAATAACAGAAGGAATTCTGTGCCACTTCCCAGGAGGTTCCCTGAGAGGTTCCTTCTGAGGAGTTCCCCTGGCTGGATACAAACTGATGGATTTCCCCACATTTCTCTGGATTTGGGTTTGGTTTGGGATTTTGGTCTGTTTGCAGTGCCAGCTGGGCTCTCAAGATGCAGTTCCTGGTCACACCAACACAGCAGCACAAGGCTGAACTTTAACTAACCCTGGTGTTACTCAGAGAACCCCCAGCGAGCCCCCTGCTCATGGTCCCCAGCTCAGGCACCCAAAGCTCACCGATGAGAGTGGCCAAGGAGCAATGAGGTACTGTTGGTGTAAACCTGATGGTGACCAGATACTCCTCCTCTCCTATCTCCTGCACCTCCACACCACCTTCTGTCACCACTTCCAGTTCTTCCAGAGTGTTGGGCTTCTCCGGGTCCCGGATGGTCCGGATAATGTCTGAAGCAGAAGGCAAGGGAGCAACAGTAAAGCAGCTTTCCAGGATTTATTAAAAGCTATTTTCATTATCAACCACCTTCCCAGCACTGTCTGTTTTGCCCCCCTCTGGAAGGGGCAGAGCTGTAAATACCAGGGGCACTTTATCTCACAAAATTCTTCTGGATGGGACAGTTTGAGGCATTTGTTGCTCGCTGTGGGTTCGTTTTTCATGTTCCATTAGTTCTGATTTAGTTCAGCAGCACTTCAGGGATTCCTCTGCTCTTTCAAATCTAATTATACAGGGACAGGTGCTTTATTCTGCAGAGGTCATGGACAAGCCTGACCCTGTGGATGAACCAAAATCCTCAAGATTTGCCTCCCTGCTCAGGTTCACAACCTGGGTTATGAGTAATAACTTTTACTTAGGGCCACTGGTGTTTTAGAGTAGCTCTATTTAAACCAGTCAAGTTTTAAAACTGAGTTTGTTTGACATTGTGTCCTCAGTTATCCGAACTAACAGTGCCCTGAGGCTTGACAAGGTGTTTGGAATCCTCCCCAAGCAGAACTTCCAGCAGTGAAATCTCTCCCCATTTTACAGAAACAGTCACTCAGTAACAGCAATTTGCATTTCCCTGGATCCACTGGTGACCACCCTGGAATTCCTGGCCCTTCCAGATGTGTTCAGCTGCTCCTCTGTCTCAGGTAAGGAAACATTCATTGGTGCCCTGAGGCAGGAGCTGAGCTGGGCAGCGATCCAGGCCTTTCCCAGCCCCTGTGGGAGCAGCCTCCATCCAGAGGGGCTCGGAGACACTTCTCCCGCACTCCCGGGGGTCCCCCCTCACCGTGAGCACCCCAAGGACACAACATCCCCCTGTGTCAGCCCCTGCCCCTGCCCCCAGCGCTGCCTGCACCCTCCGGCACCCCAAGGGAACCCCTTCCCACCCGATTCCAACCCTCAAACGAGCCAAATAAACTTTCCTCCTGCCCCACACCGAGCACAGCCCCCTCCGGCCCCCCGGGGACCCCTGTGGGTGCTCCGACACTCCAAGTTCCCGGGCACGGCTCTCACCACGCGGCTGGGCAGGCAGGGCAGGACCGGCCACGGCTCCCTCACTTCAGCCCCCCAAGGGCACAGCAGGAACGCCCCTAAAATCACCCCCCAGCCCCCTCACAGCCCCCCGCCCCACAGCCCCTCGCGGCCCTGGCCCCCTGCCCGCCCAGCCCCCCCGGCGGTCACCGTAGACCTCGATGGCCCTGTCGTGCTCCATGGCGCGGCTCGGGGTCGCATGGCCGGGACTATGGCTGGGACTATGGCCGGGGCAGCCCCAGAGCCGGCCCAGCGCCTGCGAGAGCAGCGCCCGCAGCAGCGCCATGGCCGCGCTCCGCCATCGCCCGGCCCGCGCGCCCGGGGCGGGGCCAAGGGGAGGGGCAATAGGCGGGGCCGGAGGCGGGGCCGCGCCGGGGGAGGGGATTGACCAATGGGCGGGGAGGGTGCTGTGCTGGTCCCACCTAAGGGGCGGGGCCTGAGTGTGGGCCCGCCCCCCCCGCTGTCCTGGGTGGGGACAGGGAGACCCCAGGGACAGACAGAGGGACCCGGGAGAGCCCCAGATCGGCGGCGCTGCGGGATTTGAGCAGCTCTCTAAGCACAGAGTCAGGGTTAGAAAGGAGGCGCTGTTTGTCGTACGCACGGGGCAGGGTGGATGTTCCCACAAACCGAGCGCGCGAGGGAGTAAAAAGCGGGAAGATTTTTACACTGAAGTTCGCATAAACCCGCCCGTCCAACCCACAGTTCCGTCCGCAACAGAGATCAAAGGAAGAGGCAGAGACAGAGAATTCTGCTGAAAACACGGGAAATTTTGCTTAAAGATAGGGAATTAAATATGCAGAGAATTCTGTTTACATACACGGTGAGTCGCGCTCACAGACACGAGCGGCACTGCCCTCGCCCGCGGGGCTCATGGAACTACATCTCCCAGCGTGCATTGCCGCCCTGCCCACAGGCCCCGCGCCGCGGTGTGTGTTGGGAGTTGTAGTCCCGGCTCCGCACTGGGCGGCCCGGTCAGCTGGGCGGAAGGAGGTGCTGCCCCGCCAAGATGGCGGCGGGCGGGGGTTGACGGAGGAGAAGGAGGAGGATGATGGAGGAGGCGGCGATGGCCCTGCGGGAGCTCCGTGTGCTCCTGGTGCCCCGCTCCCTGGAGCCGCGGGGAGCTCCACGGGACGCAGCCCGGGTGCGGCTGAGCAGGGCCCAGGACGCTCTGGGCACGCTCCTGGCCACCGGCGGCATCTCCGTGGAGCCGCTGGCGGCGGGCGGCGCCGGGCGGGCCCTGGGCACGGCCCTGCCGGGGGACTGGGCTGAGTAAGTACCGGGGCACGGGCGGCCGGAGGGACCCCCGGGTGCGGCGCTGGGGAACCCGGGGGAGCGAACAGTCGGGGGTGCGGGGGCTGAGAGGCTGCGAACCTGCCCCGAAGCGGGACAGGCTCCGTAACGCCCCGGTGCTGCAGAGGACGTTGTTTTACATTTCCTGATTTGTGTAGCTGTGGGAGAGTTCACTACGGGTGATCAAAAAGCCAAAGCAAACGAAAAGGGAATTTGTCTGTCAGGTCGTCTCTTCGGACCCCGCAGTGCCCTGACCTGCAGTCCTGCCCCCGTGGGTGACAGTCACTCACGTGGTGTTTGTGACCCGCTTTAGTGGCTCTTAGTGCTGAGTCAAAACCGCAGTCACGTTTGAGTTCTGAACATCTGCAGTGTTGAGCAACACCAGCACTGTTCGGAGCACCACAGAGTCAGGGGATGGTTTGGGTTGGGAGGGACCTTAAAGCCCATCCAGTGGCACCCCTGCCACGGGCAGGGACACCTTCCATTATCCCGGGCTGCTCCGAGCCCCGTCCAGCCTGGCTTGGAGCATTCCAGGGTGGGAATGTTTCAGTGCCGTTGCAGGGCTCTGCTCTGTGCTTGCTCTGCACACCCTGAGCTGGTTCCTCTGTGCCTCCTCCCACCCACCCGGGGCAGGTCCGAGACGCACGGGGGGAGTTTCTCAGCCCGAGCAGCGGGACAGATCTGGTGTTGTGGTGTTGGCAGGGACGGGGGGACAGCAGCAGAGTCTTTATCTGAAGGTTAAATGGTGCTGCCCTTCATCAGTGCGCGGCCAGAACCGTCAGTGTGGGAAATGTGGGAAGGGAATAAATAAAGCCAATAACCCTCCTGGATGTTGTATCTCCAGCTTCATGTGGGAGAACACAGAAGATGATGGTTTGCAAGAAAACAAGTCAAAACTCCTGGCTCTTGGACAAAGTCATGGACTGTTTGTCTATGAACTCTCTGTAGAAGATGGAAAGTCCAGCCTAACCTCCCTGCACAGTTGTAAGGAAGAGACACTTAAAAAGCTCCTTGAAGTTAAAAACATTAGTGAGTAAATTCCAGTGTGTTCCTTTTGTGAAATTGTTGCTGGTCTGGTTCTGTGCTGGGACAAATGCAGGCAGTGGGATTGAGCACTAGGGAAGTGTCAGGTACTTCTACACTGACTTAGAGTGATCAGCAGGATTAATGGACTGGAAAATTAAAAGGGACATTTCTATGTTCAAAGGTGACATTGGTAGAGGGAATTAAACTGTTGTAGGGTCACGAGTTTGGGTGATATGAAATTAAAAATAAATTTTAATGAAGCATGTTCAAGCAAATCTACCCTCTCAAATTTCCCCTTTAATATTGGAACTGATGGTAAGAAAACAGAGACAGGACTCCTCACTAACCCAGCAGAGACTGATTAAGTGTTTAACCTTATGTTTTATGATTAGCAAACATAGTGTACAGTTACACTTTGCAGGACCTTTGGTGTTTTACATGTTCTTAAACAGTCTGCCTTCCTAAAATATTTTTATTTCCAAAGTTTGTAGCTTTTATTTTCAGTGGAAATATTATTTTGGGATGATTTTTTTGTTCTTCACAGTATTGTCCACTTAAAAAAACACATAAAAAGTTTTAGGAAACTGTTCTAAAATCAGTGACATAGAGAGTGAGATTTAAAACAAAACAAACTCCCCTCCCCAATCCCAATTTTTTTAAGATGGTAGCAGAGAGAATGAATTTGAGCTGTGATTTTCTTGGGGTTCCTTTGCAAATCAAAATTCCCAGCTGGCTGTAATCCTAAAACATGTTTAAATTTACAGGTCTACCTTCAGTTTTCTCTGTGAAGATTCTGTCTTTCGGAAACAACAAGTGCAAACTTCTGCTCAACCAGTTCATCCTTGTGCATCTGACCTTTCCTGGGGAAGACTCACCCTCAGAGACCTGTGACTGCTTCACCCTGGATTTGCCTCCAGAGGTTTTGGGGAGAATAACAGATTCCTGCTTCTGCAGAGGGATCCTGTTCCTGTTGGACAGTGCTGGCTGGATTTGTATCCTTTGCAGGAGAGAGGAGCTCTCAGGGGAAATGATCGGGAAGAACAAAGTTGTTTTTCTTTTCTGGCAGGGTTGAGCAGAAATTTCTTTAAAGACATTTAAGTATCTGTTTTGAAGATGCTTCCAAAAAGGGTTGTGTAGCAAAATCCTGGTTATTGTAGTGAAAATGCCATAGTTGTGTATCAAATGTTTCTCAGCACAGCCCTGGAAATCTGTTTCCCACTGGATTAATGTTTTCCAGTGGTTCTGCTCCGTGGGTCTGTGTATAATGCACTGACATCTACTGCCAGCTAATTCCTTGAGTAAAGTTGAAACTCCAGAGACACACAGGGAGTCACAGCTGGGGAGCCAGATGTGTGTGTTGTGCTGGGCAGGGGCTCAGACCTGGCTGTTCCACGAGCTTCCATTTCCCCTGTGCTTGGCCATTGCCTCTGACACCTGTAACAGTGCAGGGAGCTCAGGGTACCTTTGCCTGGCCATTTTGCCCCTGTAGCAGTGCAGGGAGCTCAGGGTACCTTTGCCTGGCCATTTTGCCCCTGTAGCAGTGCAGGGAGCTCAGGGTACCTTTGCCTGGCCATTTTACCCCTGTAGCAGTGCAGGGAGCTCAGGGTACCTTTGCCTGGCCATTTGCCCCTGTAGCAGTGCAGCGAGCTCAGGGTACCTTTTCCTCCCCACAGAATGCCAGGACAGGTCACTCCAAGTATCACTTGACTCCTTTGAAGTGGCACAAGTGGCATGTTTGTGCAGCACAATCCTCTGCTGATCCCAGCTGAGCTTGGAATGCTCTTGGAAAACAAACACTCCTCATGTTCTGTGGGGCAGAGCTTGGCCTGGACCACAAGTTACCCAAAATTCACCATCTGCCCCTTCTGTGTTACTCCTTTGTTGGAGCCTGTGAGCCCTGGGGTTTTCCTTGACGCTGTCTAAAGACATATTTGACTCTTTTGATGGTGCCAGCCTAGGCAGGATCAGTGTAGCCCTGTACCAGGGAGGGGGGCAGGCTGGGGGCAGGAGCCCAGCCCTGCCATCCCCACTCAGTGCCCTGAGGGTGTCCCAGGATCTCAGCGTGGCCGTGGTGCTCAGTGCTGCCCACTGTGCCCTCTCCGTGGAGCTCAACAGCTACTTCAGGTATGGTGGGTTCCTGAAGGAAGAGTTTGGGTTCAGCTGACCTTAGGTGCCTGGCCTTGGTCCTGCAGTGGTTGAGGTGCTGTCACTTTTTTATTTTGAGTTCTGGCCCTGTGGTAGAGCAGAAATTTCCCATTTATTTAAACATTGTCCTTTATTATTTGCTCCAATTTGCACTCTATCACTTTAACCAAAGAAAATTTATCTATTAACATCTATTTGTTTTATCTATTAAGTATGTTAACAAATAGAAAACCTTTGTATTGGACTCTCTGTTTTTCCTAGGAAGATTAGGATAGGTGTTCTCAGTGCCGAGGGTGGGTGGCAGCACCTTTTAGAGATGCTGGGAGGTCTGGGATTATTAAACTCCTGATACACCTGTGCTGATTTGGCTTGGTAAATTAGGGCCAGGTTGTAGCTGAGAGGAAGGAGCACCAGGGTTTGATGGCTCACCTGGACACCTCCCTGGGAGTGCTGCTGACCTGAGAGGAAGCTGCTTTGCTGAGGGTTCCTGGAGGGGTTAAACAGCAAAAAAATCTCAAGAGGGAGGTGAAAATTAATATTTATTTCTTTACAGGCAGTTCCCTGAGCATTTGCTCTGTAAGAGAGATCCTGAAAGTCTTTGCATGGAGCCTCCTGAAGGAGTGGATGAGGATGACCTTGCCAGTTCTGAGCACAGCATGGAGCTCCTGCCCTCACCCTTCCGCACAGACAGGTACTGAGGGAAAGCCCTGCCTGGGACAGGCTGGGCTTTGCTTCCTTTACATCACTGATAATAAATCCCGGGGTTTTTTTCAGTTGTAATTGTGATAAGTAAAATCAGCTCATTCTGCTCTAAATGTTTTGAATTGAGGATGATGTTTGCAAACGGGCTGAGAGAACTTTACATGTGTCATTAAACAGCTACCAAACAGTAATTGCTGATAAGGAGTTACCTTTCATTTAAACACTATAGACAGATTTTTTGTATCCTAAGGACTTAACATCTCCTTGCTTGTTTAGCACAAATGAGTATGTGTGGCCTTCAAAATACTCTGTGTTCATGTAAAACATTTTAACTGGTTGTGAACCTTAGGGGTATTAATACTGAAAAAACATGTTAATTATAACTTGATGTAAGTGTAATAAAATACTCAAGTCCAGAATTAATTTGGTTCTAAATTTTTTTAACTGAGGGGGCATTTTCTGTGAGGAAAAGAAAATTTTCTACGAAAAAGGGTAAACATGAATGTTGTCATCTAATGGAGCTGGGATCACTCAGCTTGGCTGCAGAGAGCATTTAAATAGAAACAAACAGTCCATGTTAAGGTTAAAAGGTGCTAGATGGATTTTCTAAGCTTAAAATGCATTTTATTTAACTGAGGAAACTTTATCTGCGTTGTTCTTGGAGTAATACCTGGTCTCTTCTCCCCAGGTCCTGGAAGGCACACTTGTCCTCACTGTGGGACAGAGTAAGAAGAAGAAGACCAGGTTCTCCAGATCTGGGGAATGACTTGAATTTACCTTGGTATCAGTTTTTTACCCACCTTGAAGATCATGATCCTGACATTTATGAGGATCCAGAGAAGATGGTGGCCTTTGTTCCACGGGCTGTTACCTGGGCAGCTTCCAGAGCCCTCCAGAGCCACGGCACAGACCTCAGGGCTGCGGGACAGCAGTGGACACAGATCCCTGGGGCAGCACCACAAGAAGTGGTGAAACTGGAGTGCAAACTGGTCACTGGAGCTACAGCTGTGTTTGTGGTGGTGACAAAGGACATGGGGTTGTCTCTTGCTCTCTGGGATTTTGAGTCCCAAGACGTGACGTGTTCCCACTTCGGCACAAACAGTGTTTACGTGGAGTGCAGTGCAGAGGTGCCACTGTGCCTGCTGCTCACAGGTGAGGGGTCATGGATTCGTGGATTGTTCTCAGACAGCTTTTGGAGGGGGTTCTGGTGGTGTTCTTTCCTTTCTGCCTGGCTGCTGTTGGTTCATGGCTCTTGCATTGCTCGGGTCAAAGCCATACAGACCCGCTGCAGCTTTGTGTCATCCTTTGGGAAGAGAGGCAGTGGATGGAAATGCTTTAATAATTAATATCTTTTATTATGGTTTGATTCTTTTCTTTAGAGCGTGGTCTGTCCTTAGTTCTGTTTGGTGTGACCCAAGAGGAGTTTTTGAACAGGCTGATGATGTTTGGCAGTGCTGGAGTCGTGGATTCCGTTTGTCACCTCAATGGATGGGAGCGATGTTCCATTCCCATCCATGCCCTGGAGGTAAGGAAAGCTGCTTCATGCCTTACAAATAACAAAAGTACTTCTTTCAAGTAATGAACACAGCTTATGCAATGCTAATGGTGGTTTTAGACACAATTAAAAGTACTCTTTAAACCTGGGGCAAAAAGAAGTGGTTTAGTTATTAAATAAACAATAAAGCCCCAAGTAGGGCAGGTTAGTAACCCAAAAGTAGAAATACACAACGAAGTGAATGCCCATTAATAAAATAAACCAGAATTTTAAAGTAAGCAGTGCTCAAAAATCCCTCTTGATTGGACCCTAAAGCATTTTTGACAATTTGCATTTCTGCAGCAGCTTTTGACCTCTTGCAAAATGTCAAATATTAAAAGAAGTCTTTGGAACTAGGTTTTGGGTTTGCTGTACCGTTCTTATAAAGCCAGGGGAGAACCAGCAGTAAGTGTACAACATGTGTAGAATTTAGAATCCATGCATGATTGTTCTCCTGCGTGTTTGTCTAGGCAGGTTTGGAAAATCGCCAGCTGGACACAGTGGACTTATTTTTAAAAAGCAAAGAAAGTGTTTTCAGCCTCTCTGCTCCCTGCTCTGGGCCTGGGCAGTGCAGTGATGGTGCGTCCCAGACCTACCTGAGAAGTAAGTCAGTCCCTGCAGCTGCACAGAGGTTTCAGCTGAACTGCCTTTCTCTCTGGCACAGTTGCAGGTGTTTTATCTTTGTCTGTCACCATTGCAGATTTGGAAGAACTCAGGCCAGCTTTAAACTTGCTTTGCTCAGCAATCCAAGAGAATGATATGGAGCCTCACAGCAAACACTTCTCTGAGCAGCTCCTGAACCTCACCCTGACTTTCCTTACCAGGCAACTGGAAGAAATCTTTGTGCACACAGAGGGTAAGGTTACTCCTTTTGAGTCATATCTAGCAATGTGTTATTGTTTAGTGAAGTGGGAACAGCAACTTTTTTTAATTAAAAGTTTACATTGGCCCAGAATTAACACAAGGAAATGCCAGAGATGAGCGAATGAAAGATTTTCATCCCTGCATTTTAAATGGGACTTACCTGACTAATAATTGGTTGGATTAATAAAAAATTTCAGTTATTATTTACTGGTCCCTGAGGGGTAAAACACCCCAGTGAGGGCAGGGAGCACTGGTGGGGCTGTGACTGTGTCCTGACAGGTTGCAGAGAGTGCTGGGCACTGGCAGTACCTGTGCAGGTGAGAGAGCTGGTGAAGTTTCTGTTGATCAATCAGGAGAACATTCAGCATTTCCAGACACCAAAAATCCTGTCTTGTCCCTTCCTGTTTAACTGATGTCTTGGATGCTCTTGGCAGAACCCGATGAGTTCCTGCAGAAGGCTGCAGATATTCTGACTGATTACATTATTCAACTGAGGAAATTCCTGAGAAAATATCCTCGCCCGCAAATCAATCCAGTGCACACAGGAGATGATCTGGATGAAGACCTGCCTGAGATAGAAGAAAGCCATGTGTGGGAAAAACTGACACCAGAGGTAAAAATGAGTCATCCAGTTTTTACTGTTCTTATTAAGTGTATCTGAGATTACTGATGTGGAAATTTCCTAAAGTATTGGAGAAAAGATCAGCAACAGTGATGATAGATGAGTTTGTTCCTTTGCTTCTCTGCTTTAGGAGGTCATTGCTGAGGCCATCTTAAGCAACAAAATGCCAGAGGCCCAGATCTTCTTCCGAATGCATCAACATCCTGCTGAGAACCTGCAGGAATTTCTTCAGGCAGGTTTGAGTCTGGTCTATGACCGTCTGCTGAAGGACAACACCAGAGAGGCCTCAGAGCTGCTCAGAAATATGGTGAGAGGTGTCCTCTGGTTCTTCACACTTTGTGGCTGATGAAGTCAATGAATGCTGGGAATGTGGGGAGCTCAGGGGTCCTGTGGATGTGATTCCACCAGATTCAGGTATTGCAGTGAAAATTAACTTGTTTGAAAGAGTGGTGCCCTCAGAAGGCTGAGGGAGCCTGTTTGTGGGGGGTGATATCATGATCCAAGTGTGGAGGTAGTTCTGGCAGGTGAGGTGTTAAAGGGCACAGGGTTTGTACCCAGATGTGCTGGAGACATCAGGCACATCCCTGGGTTACTGTGACACCTTTAGGGGCTGAAGGGAACATCACAAGCTTGCTTTGGAAGGGAAGCAAGTGCATTTATTCCATCCCTCTGCAGCTGCATTTTACAGTTTGTGTGCAATGGGTGTCTCCTTTCCTGCCAGGGCTTCGATGTGAAGCAGGAATTGCACAAGATCTGTTTCTACACAGAGGACAGACACGTCAGAGATCTGCTGGTAAGTGCAGCAAAGGCTCTTCTTGTCCAGCTCTCGGGTCTGAACCTTGTGTGTGTTTGTGCTGAGGGAAACCAGGGTACTGGACTCACTTTCAGAACAGACAGGCAGGTTTTGTCCCTGCATCCTGGCAGTGCAGTTACTGAGACATGCCAGTGCCATGCCCATGTTCCTTTATATTTGTAGTTCAAGTAAAAATGGGTTAAAATGTCATTTCCTTGTTGTGGCTGTGCTTTAGTTCTCGTGTCCTTGCACACAGAATGTGTGCAAGTCCTCTTGTCCTTTAAGTGTGTTGCCCTCTGCTTCCAGCATTTTTTCCTGCAGTTGGTAACTGTTTGCACTTGCAGGGTCATTTACAACTTAAATATATTAAAAGTAGATCAAAATGACAATTGGAGGTAATACTTTAATTTGAATTAAAGGTGAAAGTTTTACGGGAAGAAAATTATTTTTCTGAAAAAGAGAAGAAAATGATAGACTTTGTGCATCAGGTTGAAAGCTTTTACTCGGAATCCTTCCAGGAAAATAAAGAGATTCAGTCTCTTGCCAGGTAACGTGGGTTAACAGTTTTAATTATTAATTAATAATGTTAATAGGATTTAAAATGTGCTGACCTCTACATTCTGTGTGATTTACTGCACTAACAAATACAGTCTCAATGTCATTAATTTCACACTGGTCTTTGTTTGCAGAAATCAGGGTTAGTGGGGGGACGAAGTAATTTCCTCATTAATGTAACAGTTGCTGTCATGTTCTCTCCAGACCAAGTCATGGCTTAGTCTTGTTGGGGTAACAGAGCCCTTCTGCTCATGTCATCACCATAAATGAAACAGTTTTAATAGCAAGTGATATTATTAGAGTTATTAATCAAACATTTGTATGGAATGCTGATTTTGATATATACCCATAATATAGCAAGCTAAACTAACCTAGAAAAAACATTTACAGTTAAATAACTGTAAAAATGTTGCAATACTTACCATTTGCTATGTCAGTTTTGGGAAAATGAGGTAATTCTTTGGTTCTCAAACCTTTAGTTCAAAGTCAGTCCCTCTGGCACTTCCAGAGCTCTTCAGAATGGAGTGGCAAAACTCGCTGACCTTTTCATCACCTTCTGTTTGTTAGATTGGTGACTGCTTATTAAAAGAGCAATAAAGAACACCCCAATTCCATCCTCCCTTGCAGGTTCAGTGACTGGAGGAAGGACCAGGACCTCTGCAGACACACAGCAGTGCTGGACTCGGTGCTGGGCTGGGACAGACACAGGGCCCCCAGCAGGAGACTCCGGGTCATGTTGGACTGGGCTCAGTGGTGGGATGAGCCCATGCAGGAGATGATTCTTCTCCCCAGGAAACCACGCCAAGGCAAGTGTTCTGGGAATGAGGACTTGAACTGGGAACCAGAAGGCTGTCTTTGACGTGGTACACTGCAGTGGTGTAGGACTGGCACTGCTGGAACCAGAGTGGGAGGTGCCACAGTGGGGCACTTTTTAGCAGTGAAATGGCTAACAGTGGGTTTTTATCCTGCTGCATCCTGGCTCTGTGTTTTTCCTGCAGAGAAAAGTTTGGAACTAGCTGAAAGGGACTTGCCTAAGGCATGGCCACTTGTAAGTGGGTCCTGCTCTGCCAGGTTCTCCCAAGCTCATTGCACTGTGGTGTTACTTCCAGCTTTGCCAACATAAAGCTCTGACGAGCTGTAACAATATCCTTCATCTCAGCATCCTATTTGCAACTGTTCATTAAAAATCAGTGCATGGAGGGACAGGACACAGGGAATGGCTTCCCACTGCCGGAGGGCAGGGTTAGGTGGGATACTGGTAAGAAATCCTTCCCTGTGAGGGTGGGCAGGCCCTGGCACAGGTTGCCCAGAGAAGCTGTGGCTGCCCCATCCCTGGAAGTGTCCAAGGCCAGGCTGGACGGGACTTGGAGCAACCTGGGCTAGTGGGAGGTGTCCCTGCCCACGGGACTAGATGAGCTTTAAGATCCCTTCCAGCCCAAACCATTCCATGATTCCGTAGGTAAAGGAATATCAGTATTTCCCTCAGCAGTGTTTGTGCTGATTTCATCCGTTTGCCTTTTTGAAACACAGAGCTCAAGACATGCAGTCCTGAGGTGCTTTGGATGCACTTGACAGCCCAGCACGATTGGCTGAGTGTTTGTTCTTGGATTGAGGAGTCAGAGCCTGGCCAGGCTCCGTGTGGAGCAGCTGCCTGGCCCCCTCTGACTGCAGACATGGTTGACCAGAACACTCTGTGCAGCAGCTACATGAGACATGAGATCCTCAACAAGCTGGCCAGGTATGTGCCCTTGGTGCTCTGCACTGACTCTCTATCCTGTATGAATAATCAGGATAATCAGATGGGTAGAGAAGGTAATAAAATCTTTGATACATATTAATTTCTATATTGTATTTAGAGCTCTTTTTGGAAACAGCACAAATCCTTTAAAATTTAATTTTAGTCTTGCACTTTCAGTTAACTGAAAATGGGAGAAATCTTCCCTCAGCCCTTGGATCTTTCCCAGTAATTATGTTCCTGATGCCCACTGCAGTGCGAGTGGGAATTCTGAGCACACAGGATTGCCCTCCTCACACCTTGTTGTCTGCAGTGACCTGCAGTAACCACAGTGTTGTTTGAGCACCATCAGACATATTTTGGCACATTGTGTTTTCCTCAGCTGTGAGTTAATCTCTGAGAAGGAAGGGTCTGCTTTAATTTTGAGCTGAAAACACCCTTCAGAACGTGTTGAGAAGCAAACTGCCTGATCAGTCTGTGCTTCCTCTGCTTTCTGACAGAAATGGAATTTTTGTCCGTTCTGAGCTGGAGGATTTTGAGCTCCTGCTCCAAAGACTGTCCTGCCTTGGGGGAGTCCTGCAAAATCCTCACCCTGTCCCAGAATACAGCTCTGCTGGTGGCTTGGACTTCCATGCTCAGTTTGTCCTCCACTGCTTACAGCACAATTTGCAGTACCTGTTATACACCTACCTGGACTATTACAGGTAAGAATGCTTTCCATCCCTCAAATCCCATGTGGGTTTAAAGAATGGAACACAATTTTAACAGTTGTTGGTAAGAGTTTTCCTCAACCCTTCCTGTCTATTGACAAGGACCTCCTGGATCACAGCAGTGTCAGTTAGCAAAATCTGTGGGGCAGTGTGGGAGGTTTTAAACTGTTATTTTGAAGTTTTATTCAGGTTGTCTTAATATTAATTTGTGTGTCAGTCATCAAAGGAAACAATTACAGTTGTAATTAGTATAATGCTATGAGCAATACAATGTAAAATGAGCCAAGACAACTTGCTCTTCATAAACTCAGAATTTAGAGAATTCAGAAACTGTCACTTGAACACAAGGGTGAGTTCATTCTTGATACATTCACAGATTGCTGGTTTCCATCTAAATTAGCATAAGTTGGGATTTGAAGGAGGAAGCAATGTTAGGCATCAGAATTGTGTGAATACTTTGTAATTGATGAATACTTTGCAATTAAAATTTCTGTAACTCCAGTCTAACACTGAAATTATCAAGAAGGTAAAAGTGGACCAGAAAAAAAGCCAGCAAGTCATTTTTTGTTACCTGTCTAATCAATTTTAGTTTGCATAACTCCCAGTCTTTAATGCTGTGTTACACTGGGGCAGAGGGTGGTTACAAATACTGAGTTTTCACTGTGCTGTACATTTATTTCCAGCTTAACCCCTTCAAATTGCCCTATTTTGGATAACAAGGAGCTGCACGAAGCACATCCCTGGTTTGAGTTCCTGGTGCAGTGCCGAGGGGTTGCCAGTAATCCCCGAGGTAGGAATCTCCCTCCAGAGGGGGCTCCTGGTTCTGTTCCAGCTGAGGGCTGGGCACAGCTGGATTAAATCCTCTGCTCTGCTGAAAACCTTCTGTTGACCTTGGCAAATCACTTCCGTGTTCATCACTTCCCCATCTCTAAAGTTTGGGTTATAATTCCTCCTGAAACTGTGCAGGGTTTGATTTTCCTCCTGAAACTGTGCAGAAGGATTTGGAGGCTGTAGATATGTGAGCATTATTTTGTGTGTGATCATCATTACCCCCAATTTTATTATGTTCCCAACAGGTAGATCAGAAGGAGGATTCATAAGAAAATGCACATCTCACTAAAATGGAACGTTTCTCTAGTCCTTCTGGTGCATTTTGACTTCTCTGCCCTTGGATTATATCTCTGCTTTTTCTTGTTATTGTCATTGCAAATCAGTAGAATTTGTGCCCTTAACTCATTGCACATTTTAAACATTTCATCTTTTGCGGAGTCACAGATTAACAAAAGATAGAAATAAGCCCAAGTGAAGCTTTTTTTAGAAAGTGTGCTCAGTGTAGGATAAAGAATTGAACCAACTCAGTGTTTAACTGTGGGGCTCAATCCCAGTCAATCTGTGTAGGCAAAACTGTGGTTTGAAACTGGGGGAAACTTGGTAAAATTCAGATCAGCCTGTCTGTATTTGTAAGTAAATTGAGAAAAATCAGTATTAACAACAAAAGGTAGAAAATTCAGGATTTTTCGTAGTTGGAGAACAGTTGTAATGTGTGATTAATGATTTAATACTGGATTTGCTTGAAACTAAATCTCACTTTTTTTCCTGTTAAGATCCAAGGATGATTTTCCAGGCGAGTCTGGCAAACGCTCAGATCCTGATTCCCAGCAACCAGGCCAGTGTGAGCAGCATCCTGCTGGAGGGCAGGACCCTGCTGGCCCTGGCCACCACCATGTACTGCCCTGGGGGCATTGACCAGGTACTGGGGGGGCACCACATCCCTCAGCAGCTCTTCTGCAACCAGGAGTTCTGCTTTTAATAGAAAAGTGCTCAGTGAGCCACGTGTTGGAACAGAATTTACTGACACAGAGGGTGTTTTGATACACAGCACAGTCACCTGAAACATCAGGTGCTGTTGCAGATGTGTCTGATACAACTTAAAAGCATTTTACAGGAAAAAAAATTATACTTCTCTGTTGTCACTGCATGTCAAATTCCCCTGAGGGAGTTTGGCACATTCAAAAATTGTTCTGTTATTATCTTAGTGCAGTTTCTTCTTAATTAATTAACTTTGCTTCCTTGCAATATAGGTTCTTCAGAATGAAGATACAGAAAAACCCCTAAAGAAAGTTGATCCACAGCTCTTAAAAATGGCCTTGACCCCTTACCCCAAACTCAAGGCTGCTCTCTTTCCCTCCTGTACTGCTCATGGAATTTTGCCACCTGACATCTCTCTCTACCACCTTCTTCAGGTACCAAAGTGCTTTTTGGCAGGAGAAAAGTAAAGAGAAGCTTGTTTCAGCTAAAACCTGGAGGGTGGGGGCCATGTTTCCTTGGAATCCTTAGTTTGGAGCTTAAGTTTATGGCTCCATTCTGAACAGTTTAATTTTAAAGTGGTGTGTAAATGCTGTGAGTCTGCAGCGTTTAACTCGAGCAGCCCTGGAATGTCAGGGAGGGATATTCTTGCAATGTTCAGTGAGAAAGTTGTTTAATGTTGCAGAAATGAAAATATTTAAATTTTGAAATGCTTTCAACAGTATAAGAGAAATAGAACTGAGAGTTAAAGGATGGGAAATTCTTAAGCTGCCTCAATGTATTTTGTTTTTAATTTTTCAGTCATTAGTTCCCTTTGATCCCTTGAAATTATTTGGCTGGCAGTCCACAAACACTCTTGCTGCATCAGGTATGCTCCTTGTCAAGGTTTAGATGCTTTCCTGGCCTAGAAAAAAATACCTTCCAGTGGAATGATTTGGCTGGTAAAGGGACTGAAAAGGCCATTTCTTTCACCAAAAAAATAGTGTCATTTACTAGATTTGTGCTTTAAACTGAAATCCCAGACAAGTTACCTTTTTACATTAAGATCTTCACAGGCAGATTTTTTTCTAAATCTAAGATAGAAAAGCAATGTCTCCTTTTAAAAGCAAGCTGAGGGTGTCAGAAGGGATCCAGAGTTCTGATTTTCCACTGAGAGGTGGAATTTCAGTGGGATTTGGATATGCCGAGGTCTGAACTGGGAGCAGAGGAAAGGGATTTGATTGCCATGTCATGTCTTGTAGCTAGAAGCCATTTTTTGGTGTTTAATTCAACTGTTAGTCAGCTCATGCTGCTGCTGCTGCTCTCCCCAGATGCCCCCAGTGAGCTGCCCCACTTCTCTGACCCCGCGCTGGTGCGCAGGCACGCGGTGCTGGAGAGCCTGGACTTCCTCTGGTACCTGCACCACGGGCGGCCCTCCTTCGCCTTCGGGACGTTCCTGGCGCAGCAGCTGGTGAAGAGCAAAACCCCCAAACAGCTGTAAGTCTCCTCCAGGCTGACAGAGAGTTCTTTAGAAGTTAGAGTCGAGCACGTGGGGGAACGTTGATCCTCCCCGGCAGCAAACGAGTGGTGAGCAGTGAAATTTTGGGTGTCCTGAAGTCTGTTCAGCCCAGCACTGAGTAGGGTAGAAATATCACCTGGGTGGAGGTGATACCTAAATAAAATCTGCACAAGGAAAGCAAGGAATGGGAAGTGTTCCACTTTTATCAAACACGGGTGGGCTCTTCTTTTGGGAACCTGAGCCCCTGGACCACTTTGTAGGGAAAAGATGCCCCTTTTCTTTGACATTTCCAAAGGGTGACACTTCTTTAGTTAAATTAATAAGGCAAAAATGTACTGGAGGTTGATGGAATTAAATTTTCTGACTGAAGCTTCAAAATCAGGTGTTCAAAAGGATACAGCCAGATTACACATCTTCCATGTATTAAATTTACTATTAAGTAAATTCAGAATTGGTAGGAGTTACATCAGAACAAGTCAGTTTTTCTGGAATGCCTGGTTGGTGTGTTAGTCACTGTTTGTTCCTCTTCATCATTTCTGACCAGATGAGTTTCTCTTTTGTTAGGCTTCGTTGTCATACCTACATTTCTTATAAATATGAAATTTTTGCTTTGTAATTACCTTTCACATAAACTTTGTAGATGCTGGTTTGCTTGGGGAATATTCCTGTTGGAAATTGGTTCCAAACCAACGTACAAAACAATGCTTTGTGTTCCTTTTGTCCCAGGATCCAGCAGGCAGGGAAGGAGGCCCATGTTTTAGCCCTGTCCTCCTTTGGAGCCCCTGCAGTCGGAGCAGCCTGTGTGTGTTTTCTGGAGCTGCTGGGCCTCGACAGCCTCAAGCTCAGGGTGGACCTTAAAGTTGCAAACATGATTTTCAGCTACAGAACTAGAAATGAGGAATCTCATCACAGTCAGATCAGAGACTCTTTGGGTAAGGGTGTCTTTTGTCTGGTTTGAAATAGAGTGCTGTGGGTTTTTTGGGAAGAGCAGCAGAGAGGGATGGGAAGATGGTGACTGATGGCTCAGGAATGCAGGAAAAGCATCTAAGGATTTTGTTCTTCTTTTATTCCTGTTTTTTACTAATTTTGAAGGTGCATTTTGAACCTGTCATGTCAAGGCAGGAAGACTTACATAACATATAATAAATCATGGATTCAGGACTGCATTAGGATCTAACAGACAGTCCCACAGCTGCCTAAGGATCTGTAATGTTTAGTGAGGTTCAGCCTAATGTTGTAATAATATAATAGAGAGTTAAACAAAGTCTGTTACCAAATCTCTTTTCTCTTTCATGTTTGAAAACTGTATTACAGCAATGAAATTGGGTGTTCAAAGCTGTAGGGAAATTTAATTTATCCTGGGGATAATTTTAGTTGAATTCCTCACTCCAGGTCCACAGGTGTCGTTACAACTAGGAAATCACTGGAGCTTTTGAAAATACTGCCCTTACTCAGATCCCAAATAGCATCTCAGCAGTAGTAATATGTTCTTTTAAACAGTTGAAAAGTTAACAAAATTGGCTGATGGTGAAAAAGCAGCAGCAGCAGCAGTTCTTCCCTCCTTGGAAGAAGCCTTCTGGGATGCAGTTGAGCATCAGGGAATAAAGAGGTGAGAACAGCGTGATTTAGAGGGTTGTGCTGGGTGAGCACTGAATTTTGCCATTTGATAATATTTAAGACACAAGACAGGGCAGTGTCCCTGCCTGGGTGGGTGGGAATGTCCTCGGGGTGCAGTGTGGAAACTCCCCAGGGGAGTGTGACCCAGTCTGTAGGGAAGTCCCTGGGAGTGCTGGTGCTGCCCTTTGCAGCCAGCGGGTCTCACACAGGGTCAGTTTGTACAGGAACACCTGGGATAAATATTCCAGTTTATTACAGCTGAAGCTCTCTGAATTCCATGCAGGACATGCAGTGAGTCCAGGAGGCAGTGGGCCCTGGTGATGCAGTTCTGCAAACTGCACAGCCTCGGGCTGAGCACGTCCTACCTGCGGGAGTGCGCCCGGGCCAGCGACTGGCTGCAGTTCCTGCTGCAGAGCCACCTGCACGGCCACCAGCCTGGGGAGGTGAGCTGGGCCCCAGGGGAGGGTCAGGCAGCTCCTGCACAGGAGAGCAGCAGTATGGAGACACACTCAGCAGCTGCAGGGATTTAGCTCTTGGATGTCAATCCCCCTGGCTGTGACAGCCCTTCCCCTGCAGCCACACTTCCCAGCTTGGCTGCTCCTCTCTCCTCTTGGTGTGTGAAAAGCTGACACAAGGAAAGGGAATTTGCTGCAGAGGGAACTTGCTTCAGCAGATCCAGTAACATGGGTCTGAGAGCATGGAAGTGAGCTATGAAAGGAAAAAAATTAGAAAAAGCCCCCTTGTTGGAAAAATCATTTGTGATTGTATTAATCACCATGGAGACAATTTTCAGAGAGGAGTTGTTTGAGTGTCTCTTTGACGTGAATTGGACATTTGTCAAGAAGGGATTTAATTTTCATTTTTAATTTAGTTAGAATTATTACGTGCTCATACTGATTGTAAATTTAATTTAAAATCATTTAGTTAGTGCTTTGTTTTTATTGGAGAATTGCGAGATGTTCAGTGGAAGCTTTAATAAAGCCACTCGTCTTTCCTTTCAAAACTCAAATTGATTTTTGTGTTAAGATACTTAAACTTTTGCAAATCCAAATCTTCCATTTTCGGTGTTGAACATGATTTAAAAATTTAATGAAATATTAACAATACATAAAAGCAATTTGGGAAATGTGCAGAAGCTAACTGTAAAATTCCAGGTAAGACAATACTTAGGAGGTCTGGGGTTTTAACTTGGATCTCTTTGTTGTTGTCTGGAAAAGAAAAATAGATAATCATGCAAAAGCACCTCACCAGAGGCTTTTCATGCTCTGTTGTGGGCAGTACAAGAGACATGGCTGAACTGAGTGTCTCTAGGAGGCATTTTAGTTTCACAGAACAGGATGGACTTCAATATTTTATTAGAATCATTCACAGCTACAGAACCCTTTTTCCTCTCTGCGTCTCTGAAATTGTTCTAAAAAGCTGAATTTGTAGAATGTTTTAAAAAGCTGGATTTGAAGAATGTTTTGTTTGTCTTTGTGTATTTAATGCTTCAGTCTTCCTTCCCCCTCCCTCTCTGTGGATCTCACTGCAGAGGTGGGTTTGGTTGTGTTTTCCCAGGTCATTTCCATCCTTCAGGATTTCCCTCCCCCCTTACAAGATCACCTGGTGCTGGCCCTGGGGAAGTTCCTGTGTCCTGAGGGCAGAGCTGTGGCCCCAGGCAGAGCTGCAGAGAGTCTGTTCCAGGTGCTGCTGCAGTGCCAGGGGAGCCCCAGCCCCTGCCAGCACCTCCTGGCTGCAGGGCTGAGGGCACAGGCCCCTGTGCTCAGTGTGCTGGCTGCCTGTGTCCCTGTGAGTACCCATGGAGTCGCTGTCCTGCAGAAATGAGCAGTGAGAACTGAGGGCTGGGCACAGTTCTGGGCAGTGGTAGACGAGCAGTTGCATTAAAAGCTGCTTTTTTCTGGTTTTGTAGTGATTGTGAATAGTATGACACGTTTCACCAAGTGATTTCTAATGAGGTGATATATAAACCCAGCACTTTTGGCATTCCCAGGATGCAGACATCATTCCCTGCCTCTGTGTTTGGATCATCACCTCTGTGGATGTTGCCACCAGAGCTGAGGCAACAAAGCACATCCAGAGCTCAGCAGAAAACCACCAGTGGGACCTGCAGGACCTCTCAGTTATCTGGAAAGTCTTCTTAAGGAAGCAGAAAAGTAAAACACTTCTAAATGGCTTCCAGCTGTTTTTGAAGGTGAGGGAGTGTGTTTCTGGGGGTGTATTTGGGTGTTTCTCAAACCATCTGGGGGAGGAAGTGGCCTGTAAATCCCCCTCTGGGATAACCTGGGTTATCCACTGGAATCCCAGTCAAGGAAGAAAATCTTGGAATGGAAATTCTTCCAAGTACCACAGATTTGCAGATCAATTTTGCCTACAATTTTAATACATTAGAGCTTTACTATTTTGGTACTAAGGAAGACAAATTCTACATTTATTGAGGTACTTTTAGAAAATAATTATAACCTGGTTTTGTGTCCTAAAGGATTCCCCTTTACTGCACATCCTGGAGATGTATGAACTGTGTATGAACTGGAAAAAGTACAATGAAGCTAAAACCAAACTGGACAAGTTTCAGGAAAGTCTCTCAAAGGTAAGGAAATTAATTTTCTCTGAATGTCACTGCCTGGGTCTGCCTTTATTGGAAGTGAGGGGCATCCAGTGTCACATGTGAGAGTAGTGGAAAGGGGTGTGCATGGAGTGACTGGAAAGCAGCAGGTTTCAGCACATTCTTTTCATTGCTGACAGTTGAAAAAATGTTTTTGACAAAACACACAATTCATTTTCCTGAATGATTTTGATTTAAATTGCCGTGGGCAGAGTGAAATACAATGTCACCCTCCTGGTGTGAGCAGGAGGGTTGGCACTGACTACTGCTGGTAAATTGAATTACTTGTAGTGAGTAGGGAATAATTCAAATAATTGAATTATTTGTGGGATATTCTCTATTCTCTGTTGGCCAGGGCAAGTCAATACTGAACTGATAAACCAGTGACTTACAGGGAATACCTCTTGAAAGGTTCAGAAAAGTCCATGGTATTGCTGCAGTTCTGGTATTGGAAGGTGACTCAGGGATCTGAATTTCACACTTGACCAAACCCTGGTGGAGCAGTTGGTTTAGGAGGACCAGAGGTTTCACCCCCTGTTCCTTGTCTGTCACAGACAGATGTTTTCACAAATCAGTTCTTCCCTTTCCTGCACAATTTTCTAGTTTCCTGAATATGTTGGTGACAAACATTCCATGTCATTTGTGGTTTTCCCTCCTGGAATTCAGGCCCAGGCCAGCTCTGAGCTCTGACCCTAACCCTTTCCCTTCATAAGCAGATGTCTGTAAAGGATCCAGCAGTGATAGGGATTATTTACCCAGCAATTTATTTAATCTGTCCCTTTCTGATCCTTCTTTTCTCTCTTCCTTGAGCATCAGGAGTCCCTGGTGGTCACCCTGCTGTAAAAGTCACTATTTTCAGATCAGACATACATCAGTAATGGATCAGTGCTCCCTTGGGAATGGCAGGTCATTGTTCCCTAAGGAGGCAGATCTGGTACACCTTCCTTTCCCAGTGCCATTCCCACCAAAGTGCAGAATATATTTGTAATAAACCCCAGCACTTAAAAATCTTTACCTGCACAGCTCAAAACAGAAGAACCAGCAGCCCCCCAGTTCCCTGTGCCATGGCTGGAGTCACAGGCACTGTTCCTTCTGGAGCTGATGATGCAGCAGTGCAGGACGGACCATGAGCTGGGAAAGCTCCTGCAGCTCTTTGCTGCGGCAGAAAATCTCCTCCTGGATGGTAAATACACGTTCCCCTGTGAATCCTTTGCCCTCTGGCAGGGCTGGACACTGAGGGCAGCAGCAGAGTTCCCTCAGGTTTGAAACCAGCTGCCTTTTGTTGTTTATCCTCTCAAACCAGGCCCTTACGTGAAGAAACTCTGTGCCCTCAGTGAGAGCCTGAAGGATTCCTCCATATCCATGAACCGCTCCATCCTGGCGAGCTGCAGCCTGGAGACATTCCAGAGGGAGTGCAGGGCCATCCTGGAGCAGCTGCAGGAGAAGGGGATGTTCTGCCTGGCCCGGGAGGTCGCGGCGCTGGCCGAGCTGCCGGTGGACAGCGTGGTCACACAGGAGGTACAGTGCAGTCCAGTGGTGATGGGCACCTTCATCCTCCTGGGGCTGCCAGGGGCGAGGATGCAACCTCTCATCCCTCCTGAAACACAGACCTTCCTTTAAATCACTTTTTATTTTAAGTGCAAGAGCACAAAACTTGTTGACTGTAAGTGCTGAGCTGCAAAGGGCAGTACAACTGTCCTTCCTCCTCACCATTATTTACTTGCTGTGCAATCAGTGTTATTTTTGGGAGAAAAATAGATGGATTTGCCCATCCCTGCCCACAGCAGAGGGTGGAATGAGATGATATTTAAGGTCCCTTCCACCTCAAACTGTTCTGGAATTCTGTGACTTGTTGCATATTGAGACACTTGCCCAAATTCTGTGTTTCAATGTGAGTTTTCTTCCTTGGAAACAGGATTGTTTAAAACCTCTCTGAATTTTACAGGTTCTGAGAGATCTGCATCATTTAAGAGAGGTTGGACAGTGGCATCAAACCCAGACCAGAGCTGAGTTCTGGAAGAAGTGCAACGACACCTTCCTGAAACATTCCATCTCCAGCCAAGCCGCAGCCGGTTTTTTCCTCGATCAGGCAAACTCGGTGTTGGAATCCTCAGGGGAGGAGGGGGTACCCAGCATTATGGAGAGACACCTGCTGCTCACCCTGGCTGGCCACTGGCTGACCAAGGATGCCTCGGTGTCCCTGCAGCAGCTGGAAGAAGTGGAGAAGCAGATGTGGATCTGTCGGATCGCACGGGAAATGTCCCAGGCCCAGGGCTTGGAGCAGTCCCCGTGTCCCTCTCCTGCCGTGGCCAGCAGGGACCTGTCCTTTGACAGCCTGGCCAGGGAGTTCTCCTTCTCCAGGCTGCCCGCTCTGAACTCTCCCCAGTCCCTGGAGCTGGGGGCGGTGGCTCTGGAGCCCCGGCAGGCCCCGGCTGGCGCGGAGGAGGCGGCGCTGTGGGGGCTGGTGGGGGCCCTGCTGGACGAGGGCAGCGTGCACGAGGCCAGCAGGGTCTGCAGGTACTTCCAGTGCTGCCACAGGGACCTGGCCCTGGTGCTGCACTGCAGGGCCCTGGCCTCGGGGCAGGCTGGGCTGGACGAGCTGCACCCCGACATTCAGGCTCTGCTGGCGGAGCACAGACACAGCCCGAGCGCGGCCGAGGCACCCCGGGAGGGCAGAGCCCCAGGCTGTGAGTACCTCCTTCCCTCAGCCCTGCACTGCTCATCCCCTCCTGACCTGCCACTGGCTTCTTCCTCCCTCGGTACACTGCTCATTTCCCCCAGGTTTCTGCAGGAAATAGGTGTTTGTGACAGTGGTTTCTCTTCTTGGCTCATAAATCCTGGAAGGAATTGTGGAAGGAATTTGAAGCTTTGCAGTGCTCGTTGCCTCTGTGTGCTTCAGACAGGGTGTTTCTGTGTGCAGCTTCCATGGTCCCTGAACCTTTCATTTCAGTTCCCAGTAGTGGTAAAGCAGCACTGAAACTTCATCTCTGTTCCTGCTTTTGGAATACACATCTAGGAAATATTTCTTTTTCTGGAGCTGAAAACAGGGATATTCTTCAAGTAATAGGTTTCTCTGACTTCTTTGTGCATTATAAAGGGTTTAGTATTTATTAATAGCAAGGCTAAGGCTGAGAGTGTTTATTTATAAAGTTCTCTGCATGTTTATGAAGCCTGAGTGAGAAACTGTCAGCTGGAACTAACACTGACATGTGCAAAGCTGAATAGACATGGAGTCAGTGAATCCTAAGCCATCAGAAAGTCTGCTGAACCCTTATATAATCTTATGCCTAGGAATTTTATATCTGAGATATTAGTGTGCATATTTTGGCTTATTTGTGTTCTGTCATATTGTTTGTACCCTAAAACCTTATGGTTCCTTTTTTTTTTTGTTTCCAGCCTCCAGCTTAGAAGACTGGACACACCTGGTGGCTGCCTGTCCAGCAGATGAGGTGGTGGCCAGTCTGAAGGCTCTCACAGAGGAGTGTGTGCACGGCAGGAACTACTGCAGGCAGGTCCTGTGCCTGTATGAGCTCTCCAAGGTACCACCCTGGGCACACGGGCTGTGTGTGTCAGCCTGGGCTGCAGCTCTGGGCAGGAGGGGTAAAGGGGGTGAAGGAAGCTCAGAAGCTGCAGAGGGTGAAGTTACTGACCCTTTGTGTGGAAAAAGGCTGATGCTCCCTGGGCACGAGGGGCTGAAAGGGGCTCTGCTCCCAGCTCCCCAGGCCCTGCCCTGACCCCACTGAGCCCCAGTTCAGCCTGGGGCTCTCTGCTGTGCCCTTTTGATGACCTTCCCAGCACATGCTGCTGCCCCAGCACTTTGCCTCAGGCCCTTGCTGGGAGCTGTCCCCCCGAATCCCCCAGACTGGAGCACAGAGGGCAGCAGCTCCCTTGGGGTTTAGCACAGAGTGCAGTGCAGGGGCAACCTTTCCCCAGGGCCTGCAGTGGCTCAGCAGTCCCACGTGCTCTGACCAGGCAGGGAAAATATTGGCATCATCCTTGTCACAGAGGTTCTTAGATTTTCCTACAGAATTTTTCATGCCTTGAATATTCAGAGTGAACACTTCAGGTTTGAGCTGCTAAGAAGAATTAGTCATGTGGCTGCCTTGTTCCCTGTTATCCCATCCATATCCTTCTGGCCTGTACCTGGATGTCCACACTTTTGAATTAAGGGTCAATCAACGTGTTTCTGAGATATATTTTTTGATTAATTTGTAATTTGGTGAAGCTATGATGTTACAGCAGAGCCTCACCCAGAGCCTCACCCACTGCCCTTCCAAATGTGAAATCTAGTTTCTCTCTTTCACTGGGAGTTTGTGGTATGTAGAGGAGAGGAAAAGGAGACTCATAAGTAGAACACAATTCCTTGTTTGGGAGGAAATATTGTTAAGCTGTTAAGGTTTATATTTGGTTCAAGAAATCCCCTCTGTCCCTGGCGACAGCTCGGGGAGTGCGGGACTGCACATCCTGCCTGGAGAAGGTGGTCAGGACGATGTCCTGCAGGTCAGGGATGTTCTGGGCTGGGATGTCCTGAGTGCCCCTGTGTCTCCCAGGAACTGAGCTGCTCCTTCAGCGAGATGTCGGCGCAGGCCCCCGAGCAGGTGCTGCGGGCCATCCTGGCGGGGCGCGGGCCGGAGCGGGGCCGCAGGGCACAGGCCTTCATCGCCTGCCAGGGGCTGCAGCCCGGGGCTGTGGCACAGCTGCTGGCAGAGCAGATCACCCAGGAGCTGCTGGCACCCGCAGAGGGCAAAGGTGGGAATGGCCTCGGCCTCGGACTGTAGCGGGTTTGTCTCTGAGTGTGGTGTTTGTGTGTGAAGAACAGCCCTTGCTCTCGAGTTCCTGGAGTGCTAATTACAGTCAGTTTGGGCAGCCCTTGGGGAAGGTTTTATACAAATGTTAGTTTATTGTTGTTTTGTGTACACGGTGGTGTTGCAGTAAAGGTTTTATTTTTCGTGAATGTGAATTTAATATTTTTTAAAAAAAGGCCAGAGGGTTTTTACCTTTCTTTTCTTTTACTTTGTGAAATGAGAAATACAGCAATGTGGTTGTTCAGTAGGATTTCATTCAGTTGAACTGGCAAAGAAATGACATCAAAAGTGTCTTTAGGATTGTAGTCCCAAGTCCTCAGTCAGTCTGGATGGAGTCAGATTGGTTTGTTTGGGATTTTTTTGTTAATAATAAAAAATAAGAATTGTTCTATCCTGAACAGTCAGCAGCAGTGACGTGATTCTCTCTGGCCACAGGACAGAAGCAGGTTCTGAACCCTGCAGTGGAGAGCCAGGCATTCCTGGAGCTTGCCAAGCTGTGCCAGGATCACACCTTGGTTGGCATGAAGTTACTGGATAAAATTGCCTCTGTCCCACGTGGGGAACTGTCATGCAGTGAGTAAATGGCAAATCATACTTGGTGTAACCAGGGTGGCATTGTGTGCTTTAAAATCACAGCACAAAGAGGAGAAGCAATGCTGAGGGAGATCTTCATTACTCATCTCAAATCTGATATTAAATTTAATTTGATATTAAAGTAATCGAGGTGAGTATGTGCGCAGTAGATCAGTGTGTCATTTAAGTGTCACATCACATTAAGTGACCTGAAATTTTGAAGGAGGATGTTGTGACTTTCTTCATATTAATCAGAGTTAGAAATGGAATGGTTTTTCAAACCCAGATGCAAAACTTGTGGCCTTCCTTTTCCCAGTGCAGAGCTGGCAGGTGGTGGGGTGCTGATGTATTTATCTGTTAGTCAGCTTTTAGTGGAGGAGCTTGGAAGTTTTGTGTGTGTGAAATAAAATAATGTTTCAGAAAATGATCCAAAACCCCCAGACTTTCCCCCAGACTGAATGAACACTCTTAGGGAAACTGTTACTCCTTAGGAGTGCACAGGGGAACCATCATAGCTCAACTTTCTCCTGCAGTTCTGCTGTTTGTCCCTGGAGAGGTTGTGCATCCTCTGCAGGGATGGCATCACTTCTGGAGAGTCACCTGGAGTTCTTTTGTTCTTCAGTTACAGAATTGCTGATCCTGGCCCACAAATGCTTCAGTCTGACTTGTCACATGGAAGGGATCACCCGAGTCCTGCAGGCAGCACGGCTCCTCACCGACCAGCACCTGGCTCCTAAGGAGGAGTATGGACTGGTGGTACGTGTCTGGGGGGCTCAGTGCCTGTCCAGGGGCTGGGTGTGCCTGTCCAGGGGCTGTGGGAAGGGGTCCCTATACACTGTAGCAGTAGCTTTGCTGTGAGCAGTGTGGGGAGTAGATGTGTGATGGAATCCCGGAATCCCAGAATCCCAGACTGCCTTGGGTTGGAGGGACCCAGGTTGCTCCAAGCCCTGTCCAGCCTGGCCTTGGACACTTCCAGGGATGGAGTTCAGTCATTCACCTCTGGGTGACTGGTCTTGATTGTTTGGTCTGCTGTGTGCAGGTGATGATTTTTATGTCACAGGTGCTCTTAAATGACTTCTCTGGAAAAAGAGGTGGAGGTAGTAGAATAATGAGGTGGCAACAGTGTAGTAACTGGAATGGGAAAGTAATTCAGTCACTGGTGAAATGTGCTGATATGTGTTACTGGGCTGTTGGGCATTTTTCATTCCTGTCTTGGGAGGATTCCGGGGACATGCCCAGTGGAATGGTGTCCGTGCTAAAATGTTCCCCCCCTATTTTTATTTGGTAAAACGATGTCCCTTCGCCTCACTGTAGAAAGGATGCAGTAGGTTGGTTTAAAACTAACCCCCTGTGGCTGCAGGGGAACGTGTGCCAGGCTGGGGTGGCCCCTGTGCCAGGCTGGGGTGGCCCCTGTGCCAGGCTGGGGTGGCCCCTGTGCCAGGCTGGGGTGGGCCCTGTGCCAGGCTGGGGTGGGCCCTGTGCCCGCCCTGCCCTGGCCCGGGTTCAGGTCCCGGTCCCGCAGGTGCGGCTGCTGACGGGCATCGGCCGGTACACGGAGATGAGCTACATCTTCGAGCTGCTGCACCACAGGCAGCACTTCGAGGTGCTCATGAGGAAGAAACTGGACCCGGTACGTGGAGGGGAAGGAGGGGGAACGCTCAGGGACTGGTGTGGCTGCGTCAGAAACTGGTGTTTACACAACGTGGGATTATCTGGGGATTTTACTTATTGGAGTGCAGGAACTGTGAGTCTTGTTTCATAGAAATAAATGAATTCTGGGGTTATTCTAGGTTTAGTTGAACCAGTTTTTTCTAATTAGTTCAGGGCTGCAATGAGAGCGGCATTGAAACTTCAGACTTGGCATTGTCAGAGTTTTCATGTCCTGCTTTGCTTTTACTTCCAGTTTAAGTTTCATGGGTGTTTTAAAAACCATAATATTCATAGCTTTGTTTAAAACAAGTCACTTTTGACATTTGTAAGTAGAGAAATGCCCAGGTGCTGGATTTTCTTGCCCAGTAGGATGTAGTTGAGCCCAAGGATGACTCCCAAGTATGGAGAGCGTAGTGATCACTTTTTGGAACGTTGTACCAGAGTTGCTTGCGGGTACCAGAGTGTGGGTGAAAGCCAAGCCCGCAGGCTCAGAGTGCCCTCCCTCCCCAGAGTGGGACGCTGAAGACGGCGCTGCTCGAGTACATCAAGCGCTGCCGGCCCGGGGACAGCGAGAAGCACAACATGATCGCGCTGTGCTTCAGCATGTGCAGGGAGATCGGGGAGAACCACGAGGCCGCCGCCCGCACCCAGCTCAAACTCATCGAGTCCCGGCCCTGGGGTCAGTGCCGACAGCCCGGGGCAGGGGGAGGGAACGCCCCTTAAACTGCTCCTGCCTGCCCGGCCCGGGCGGTTCTTGTCCCTGACAGTTCCTGACTGCCTGGGTGTTCTCCAAAGAGGGGCATTTTTGGCTCTTACTGGATGTACCGTTCCTGTGGTACCTCACATGGGACAAGCCGTGTTTTCCTCCCTTGAAAAGGATGGGACACAGTGGTTTTGTACAGAGTGTGTATGTGAAGTGTTGGGTTTATGTCTGTCTGTGCAAGGGAAGAGTTCAAGGTGCCCCGTGTGAGCCCTGCACAGCTGGGAGGGGCTGGGGGCACAGGGGGCTCTGCAGAGCCAGCAGCCAGTGCTGGACCAGCAGCTAAAGCAGGAGCTGTGCCAATGATTTCTGAATTGATCTGGTAATAGTCACTGCTGGGATCTACCACAAATGTGTGCCTGGGGTTCCTTTCCACTTCTGCAATCACTTGGCCAGGCCCCAGCAGTACCTTGGTCCATTAACAACTGAACAGGCAGCGAGGGTGATTTTTCCTGCTTTTTTAAAACAAAAATTCTGATTTAGTCTGTTGTTGCTTTCTGAGGCACCACCAGGGACAGACCTGGCACTGGGAGGGATTTTTGTAACTTACCTTTATAAATAATTGGTTATTCTTTTTTTTTTTTTCCTGTTTCAGAGGAGTCTCTCCAGGATGTTGCAAATTTAAAGAAGCTGCTGCTGAAAGCTCTGACTCTCTTCATTGATGCAGCAGAAAGTTACTCCAAGGTAAAGTGAGGTGGAGTGGAATGACTTGTGTATAGATTTGGGAGCACGTCAGGAGTGGGCTGAGCTGGGAGAACACCCAGAGCTGCTCTGGGGAAGGTTTGCAGCATCCTGGCCTTTGGAAAAGGAGCCAGGGAATCTCTGTCTGTGCCAGCCCAGCGGCTCCAGCAGCCCCAGTAACAGCTGTGCCCCAGGGTGCTGTGCTGGCCCCTGCTCAGGCTTTAACCCCCGGGGTTACAGTTCAGTTCCCCAGTTTCAGAGCTTAAAGAGTAAGAGTAGAACAAAGTGTTTAAAACAGGGTGTGATCGTGGTGGAACTATTATGATGGATGTGGGGAGTGGAGCTGTGTTTAAAACTACTGGAATATGGTCAGTGCTAAACCTGCAGTGCTCCATCCCTGCCCAGCTCTGAGCTCCTGGCTGCTCTCAGGGCTGCTCTGACTCTGTTGTTGCAGGACTCGTGTGTGCGGCAGTCCCTGCGCTGCCGCCGCCTCACCAGGCTCATCACGCTGCAGCTGCACTTCCTGGGCTCGGGGCAGAGCACCAGGATCATCAACCTGGGCAGGCAGGACCTGATGGACACCATCCTGGCCCTGCCCAGGTTCTACCAGGTGAGCTGGGCTCCCTCGGGTCCCTCTGTTGGCAGTGGCTGTTTCACAGGGCAGAACCCGGGCACTGTGTCCTGGGGCACTGCCCAGCCCTTCCACGGGGCCACCACGGCCCGGGGCTGTTGTCCCAAATATATATCCTGGGATATTCAATGGCCTGGAGGGACAGGACACAGGGAATGGCTTCCCACTGCCAGAGGCCAGGGTTAGATGGGATATTGGGAAAAAGTTCTTCCCTGTGAGGGTGGGGAGGCCCTGGCACAGGTTGCCCAGAGAAGCTGTGGCTGCTCCATCCCTGGAAGTGTCCAAGGCCAGGCTGGACGGGGCTTGGAGCAACCTGGGCTTAGTGGAAGGTGTCCCTGCCCATGGCAGGAGGTGGGACTGGATGGGCTTTAAATCTAATTTACATTGGCATCCATCAGTTTGTAAATTTGGAAATAAGAAACAAAAAGGTTTATCTAAAAGACAACAGACAACCCCCTCTGACATCTTGTTTAGGGGTTAAGGAGGATTATGTGCTGTACTTTGTTACCTTTGTTCCTCTGCACTCAGCTGCTCTCAAGAGCAGCATCAAGAGCTGGGCCAAGCAGAAGACCTGGACTGTTCCAGTGTTTTCTGTGCCATCAGCCCTTTCCTGTGAGTCACTGCAGCCCCTGCTCTCCCTGCAGGCAGCCATCGTGGCCGAGGCCTACGAGTTCCTCCCAGACTGGGCTGAGGTTCTGCACCGGCAGGTGATCACCAAGGGAGACTTCACCTACCTGGAGGAGTTCAAGCAGCAGAGGCCACTGAGGCCCAGCCTGTTCGAGGAGGTGGCCAAGAAGTGAGTTCTGTGCTCCAGGTGCAGCTTTGTTCTCCACAGGGACCTCGGGAGGAGCAGCTTTGACAGCGGGGAAGTGTCAAACCTTTCTCGTGATATGCAGGGGCTGGAGGTAGAATCCTGGAATCCTGGAATGGTTTGGGTTGGGAGGGACCCTAATGCCCATCCTGTTCCAACTCAAGGACACTTTCCACTAGCCCAGGTTGCTCCAAGCCCCGTCCAACCTGGCCTTGGACAATTCCAGGGATGGGGCAGCCACAGCTTCTCTGGGCAACCTGTGCCAGGGACCTCCCCCCCAGCAGGGACAATTTCTTTGCAGGTTTAGTTTCCTGAGCACAGTGTGGAAGGAGCACTGCTCCACCCTTGTTCCTGAGCTGGACAAACAGGGAGCTCTTGTTACAGCCCAGACCAGGAGTCTCTTTGTGCCTGGGAAGCTTTTCTGTTTCAGTCACAGTGCAATTGTTTTCAGGGTCCAACAACACCCCCCTGCTGATGCTGCTCTGAAGAACCTGAAGCGGTTCCTCGCCCACTGTGAGGACATTTACACCTACTACAGGCTGGCCTATGACCACAAGTTCTATGATGTGGTGAATTCCCTGCTGAAGGACCCTCAGACAGGCTGCTGCCTCAATGACCTGTTATCCAACTGAATTCCAGCCCTGGAGCACAGCCCAGCTGCAACACTTCCTGCAGGGTCAGTGCTGATCACAGATGTTATCAGTGACCTGCTCCCAGGGCTCTGCTGCTGAGAGAAAGTTACTCCAGAAATCTGGTGGTGGTTGTAAATATTTTAAATGCTGAGACTGTGTTAACCTAAAATTGTATTTGTATAATAATAAATCTTATTGTTTATAAATGACTGGAGTCACCAGCAGATAGAGTGGCACAGGTGGGGATGGACCAGAGATCCAGCAGCCCTTTAAATTTTGGGGTGGGGGGGAGGGAGCACCTCAGGAGTTGTATCCAAACAGCTGTGCAGAATATCCAGTCCAAGGGGGTGGAATAAGCAGAATTAGCAAAGGTTTCAGGTACATACAAGGATAATCCATTCTCTGAGTCCAGTCTGATTAGACTGGGCTTGTTTTCTAAGGTCTTGTATAGCTCCAAACAGCACATTCCTAATTCTGCTGTCCTGAAGTAAAAGAAGTAATTGAGTGCAAATGAATTCTTACTGTTATTAAATATTAATCTAGATATTAAATATAAATATTTATATAAATATTAACCTCCTTTCCAGGCTCAGGCAGCCGGCACAGGCCCAGCACAGCTTAGCTTTGCAAAGCTCCCTCTTCAGGTATTTCTTGTCGGTCCCAAAAGAACTGCTCCAAGGCCAGCCTGGTGAAGTCCTCAATAGTGATTTTTATTAAATTAGTTGCTTTATAAAACATTGCAGATGTTGTAATTGTTAACATAACAATTTGCCCAACCGGAGGAACTGCTGCAGTTTGCAAAGCAAGTTTGGTTTTTAATGGAAGAAAAGGGCCGAGTCATGAAAGACCCACCACAACCCAGGAGAGCCCCAAGGAAGTCTTGTGGTTTGGTTTTTGTTTTACACTTAAACCCATTAATTAACTGTTAAAGAACACCCACCCCAAGAGCTGCATTAGTAGAAATTTAGGTGAATGGAACTAAAGTTCATCCTGGAGACACAAGTGGGTTTGCCTTGCTCTGCCCCAGCAGCTGCTGCTCAGGTGTCAGGCTGTGGAGCAGGGGCTGGCCCAGGGGACAGGCTCCCAGGTGCAGTATCCCACACTGAAGTTAGCAGTGCCCTTCCCAAAATACTGAGAACCTCAAGCTCTAACTCAAGACAAAGCGACTGGAACTCTACGTGCACACCCTGCCCTTGCTGCAAACTGCTCGTGCTCATGGCCCTGGCCCTGGACAGGGGCAGGTGAGGCCATGCCATGGAGCTGTGCTGGTTGTAATCCTTCACCCCTTTCCAATTCCTTCCCAATTTAGTGGCTGTTGCTATCAAATTAAATAGCAGCAGTGCCCATTATCAGAATTTTGGGTTTTTAACTGCAATTTTCAGACCTTTTCCCTTCTACCCCCGCCCGGAGCTTCCGCCCGGGGCTGGGCACGTCCAACCCCCAGCACACAGATACTGCAATTCTGATTGTAGCATTTGGCAGAATTTAAAGGAAGAAAAGTTGTGCTACATGTTTAAGGGATTATGGGCAACAGAAAGACAACAGAAGGAAGATAAATGTCACATGAAGTCTTCAAAGTCTTGTACGTACTCGCCGTCGTAGCCCCCGTAGTCGGCCAGGTCGTCTTTCATCGTCGCCTTCAGCCCCCCTCCAGGAACAACCCCTTTTTTCTTCTTTCTGGCTTTATTCTGCAGGAGGGGGAGGAGGAGGTTTATTGGATAGGCCCAGGGCTCTGTCACTGCCCCAGTCAGTGACCCCACTGGGTAGGAGCACTCACATACCCTGTGCTCAATGTACCAGTGCTGATGTTCCCACCCCACCCGCTCCCTGGATGGGAATCAATCCATGTTTTGCCTGGAATCTCGACAGTCAATCAACTCCTGCTCACCTCACACAGCAAAGAGGATTTAACACTACAGCAGCATCCAAGGGGCCCATTTCCCCTCCTCCTACTCACCCCAAACCCATTAGGTAAGTCAGAGTTACCCTGTCACCACCTCCCAGGGGAGCCCCTGCAGGTGCTGTGAGCCCTGAGCAATCTTACCTTCTCTTGTTTTTGTTTTTCACTGCATAGTACTGTCAGAGTGTTTGTGATCTTTTTCAAATCATCCACTTCCACTGCATTGGGGGGGGAAAAAGGATAAAAGAAAAAGATTCCTTATCAATGTTCTTACAATGCAGTCAAATGTTAAATAACATCAACAGCCTCTAAAACTGGAGCCAAGCATTAGTGTAACTATGGGCAGGATCTTCATTTAAATCATCAAATGAGAGTGAAAGGTTCTGGTCCTTACAATCCTAACAAGGATTCCAGCTGGTACCTCGGAGTGTTGTAGAAGGTAAAACTTGCAAATTAAGTTACTGAACACAAGAGTCCTAATGAGGCATCTGAAGAGGAAAATATGGACACAGTAAAATGTATCAAAAGGAGCAGTGGATTAACAATAAATTATTGTCACTAAATGGTGAGACATTGGCAGTCCCTCCCCTTAGGGGCTCTGGAATCTGTCTGAGATGGAAGGTCCCAGCTGCCAGCCAGGATGGCTGGATTTACCCTCACTGGGATCCAGTTACCGCTCCCTGAAGGACAACTGGGGACAGGACAGGACAGATCCCACTGAGTTCTCCAAGGGCTTCAGCCACCAGGGCAGTGGGAAAAAGACTTTGAAGTAGTTTCTCTCTGTGTAGTTACACACTGAATTCCAGAACAATTATTCTGCAGTCCCAGAATTACACAAACTCAATTTTAGAATAGTTTCCCCCCAGATGAGGGAAACTCAAGTTATCTGCCTTAGAGAATAATAATAACAATAATAATAATAATAATAATAATAATAATAATTATTATTATTATTATTATTAAAAAAGGCTTCAAGGAAAACATGCAGGATTTAGATAAGTATAAAAATCCACACTTTTTCAATGACTGTCTCTCACTGATGTGCAGAAAGAGCAGCTCTGACACGAGAGAATCCTTAACGGACTTTGTGGGAATGGAATCAGGTCAGTGCTTCATTTAGTGCAAACTCCACAGAGCCACCTCCACTGAGCATTCCCTATCACAGCATGTTTTCCACTCCAGCTCCATCCCAATGTGGCAGCAGCTGTGGGCTGTCTGAACTTACAGGAAATACAGACGTCCCGAACTAACGCTTCCAAAAACCCGGCGTAATGTAACGACTTCTCGTACTGTGTGATCTTCTCCTTTAGGAGTTTGCCAAATTCCGTGAAGTCATCTTTTGTAGAGGGATTCATGGCATCTATTCCACAAGTGTTATTTACACCTGCGTGGAAAGACAGAGGTTACAGAGAACATGAACTGGGACCCTAAAAGGTGACCCCGGAGCTGGCCTGGCTGCTCCCACCCCACTGAGCTCTGCTCCTCACAGAGCCAGCCCTGACTCCTTGACCTCACAGGAGGGGATTTTGCTGCAAAACTCTGTGATTTCAAAGAATCCTGGAACGGTTTGGGTTGGAAGGGACCTTAAATTCCACCCAGTCCCACCCCTGCCATGGGCAGGGACACCTTCCACCAGCCCAGGTTGCTCCAAACCCCATCCAACCTGGCCTTGGACACTTCCAGGGATCCAGGGGCAGCCACAGCTTCTCTGGGCAACCTGTGCCAGGGCCTCCCCCCCTCCTAGGGGAGAATCATTCCCAGTATCCCATCTAACCCTGCCCTCTGGCAGTGGGAAGCCATTCCCCCTTGTCCAAAGTCTGCCTCTAACCCTCACTGCATGAGGCCCCTTTCCCCTCAGATAAACCATTCCTGTCTCAGGCTCCTGAGTGCAAAACTCGGGTTGGTTCTTTGCAGGTGTATCCAGTGCACCCCCAAGCACTGCACTCTGACAACTCACAGCACCATTTCCCTGAGCAATGAGCTGAATCACCCACTGTAATCAAGGGAAGACACTTCCCTCTTTGAGGAATGCTGCTGTGCATCAGCATCTCTGCCAGTTCTCTGTTCTCAGTGCCACAGCTCGTGTGCTGACAGCCAAGCCCTGCTCAGCCTTTGCAGGCTCCTGCAGGTTGACAGATTTGACACTCACCAAATGTTTCCTTTGCTAACTCCAGGTCTGACTCCTCTTGTAGCTTCTTTAGCCGTAGTTTGTCTGCCAACTGTTCTTCTGGTGTGAGCTCCTTCTGCTCCTCTGGTGCCTCTAACTGGGGGGAAATGCACACAGGAGAAAATGGCACCTTTGGGACGTGGGGGCTCCTGCAGGGCCACTGAACTGCCCCCTCCTGCCCTGGGTCAGCCTGGACAGAGCTGGGAACCCCCCCTGGAGCAGTGCCCTGTGCCAAGGAATGGGCATCTCACAAGCCATGGGGAGGAACACCAACCACACTGAGCTCCCACACCTGCCTCTGCCAGCACGTGGTGCACCCAAAGGGACTGGGATAACACTGCTCCCATCACTGGTTCAATCACACAGGAACTAAAGCCCTGGGTGGGATCCCCTACAACACCTAAGGTTGGTCCGTCAGACGAGTCAAGAGCTTTGCAGGTCTTGTTCAACCTCCAAAACAGCCCATCAAACCTGCCCTCTGCAATTTATACAACCCAGAAGAAATCAGAAATTACCCTTTTTTTAAGCTCCTCTTGCTTTTTCTTCTGTAGCTTTTCTTTTTCTTTGATTTTTTCTGCTATTTTCTTTTTTTCTGAAACTTTTGGTTCTGTAAGACATGGAACAATAAATGCAGCTCTCAGGAGTTCTGAGGATGAGGTCTTTTCCCCCACAATCATAAACACTCAAAGCTACCCAGCTCAGCTACTGGGGCCTGAACACAGAGGCAAAGACACCCTTTTGTTAAACTCAAGCCCAGCCCAGGTTTGGATCCTCACACACCCCCAGACAAAATCAGTGTCTGTTCTGATGCTGGTACAGAGCCAAGTGTTACCTTGAAGTCTTACCTTGTTTTACCTCTGTCTCCTTCACCTCCTCCTCTTCCTCCTCATCATCCCAGTTATCCTGCAAAGCAATAAAGATTCTTTTAGAGATACCCTGAATCTCTTTAAATGCCCACAAACCCATTAATCTCACGTGTCAGAGTGAGGGAGCTGTGGGAGCTGCAGCACAAGTTTCTGGGGGCTGTCCATGCTGTTTTGGACAACTTCTTACCAAGAATAAGGCAGTTTTTGGTTAAATAATCAGTTCATGTCAATAGCTGCAACAGCCAGGTCACAAACAGCCAAACACCCCCCCAAAAA